GTTCATTTACGTTTTCGTACCTTTAGTGGACCTTCGCGTTGAAGCCCTCTTGAAGTCACTTCTTAACTTAAAAGTTTCGCAATTTTCCAAAAGTGGAGTATTCACATCGTCGTTTGCATTATTTTTTATAAAAACTAACTCCCCATCTTCACCTACGTCAGAATCCCATTCTGGAACCGAACTAAAATAAAACCAAAGGGCAATAATACTTTTTCACTACTGAAATTAATAAATCGTAAATAAATTAACCAACCTATCCGAATCGGAGTATTTTGAGTCGCCGGTAGAATCGGTCCAATCATTGTCAGAATCACAAGGAGATTCGTAATGTACCTTCTTTTTCAACTTATTCATATTATTTACCGACGTGAATGTAAAATTTCCTGGTCAATTACTATTATAATATGAAAACTTAAAAACAAACGCAAATAAAACTTTGTTTTTCTTTTGATATAAGTTTGAAACTTTTGATTTTGACAGATTATTATAGAGTATAAGATAGACGGTAAAAAAAAGATTATACAAGGATTGAGGTGGTGACATTTCGTGTAGATAGACCATATACTCTTTGATTTAGGCTTTCAATATAAAAGAAAGCCACTGAAAAAGACTTGTAAATTTTACACATTTGGTAGATTTATGGCAGTTAAATTTGTGACAGATCATTAATTTTATTTAGGGCACCTTTAATTTGTATTTCAAAAATAAAATATAGCAACTTATTTATCATGTTATATACTTTAAAAACTAAATTGTTCTAACTTAAAAAATCAAATTATTTTTAAATTATGCTATTATTAAAAATATAAACATTTTTTTGATATTTAGAATACGTTTTTCGTTGTATCATTATTGCGTTACGTATAATATAACGTAGACAAAAAATTGACAAGTTATTGAGTAATTGCTTAAAAAAAATTATTAAAATTTGAGCATTAAATTAATATTTAAATCCATTAAAGCATTTGAATGGAGCAATTATTTACGTATTTTATTAATTAAGAAGATGTTTAGCAAATAAACATAAAATTGACGTAATTCCAAGCAGGGCATTCAAGTTACGGTAAATAATTGATCAAGGGTATTGGGTAGACACGACAAAATATTAAAATTTGAGCCATTCTAAAATTTACACAAAAAGCTAACAAATACAACTTCTATTTGTTATTTTAAAGCGGAGAAGAAAACAATTGGAACGTACTCACCAAAGTTGACATTATAAAACTTGATCACACCGTCACATCACGTCTTACTTACGTATATTATACGAAACACTGAAAACTAAGGGTTATTTGTCCTTTTAAACAAGGATAGTTACAATTTCCAAAAATATGTTTCTGATCGTATGACTAGCCAATTAAAGAAATAACAATGGAAACACATCGTATCAGGATGTACAAACAAGGACGTGGGAGTT